CGCTCTAAAGGGCAGTATTTCACTTCTTTAAAAAATCCTTTCTTTGAGGCAGTTCTGAAAAGAAAACAAAAGAAGAAAGATATTTGGAGCTTACTGAGGGAAGAGAGAGAAAGGGAAGTAAGTTGTCATAAAAAAAAAGGAAAATTCAGTGCAGTGTGCTGCAATAAAAGAATATGACCGCTATAAAACTTTATAGGGTATAAATTTCTGAAGGTTAAGGAACTAAACGGCTGTAAAGCAAACAGTGCAAGAAAACTTTCAGGAACTCCTAAATTACTACAGCGACTTGGGAATGTGGGGAAACCCAACGTGTAAATGCTCTTATTTCTGCTTCAGTCACATACAAAGTTCCTTTTTTTTTTTTGTATTCCTTAAGGAAGGGGGCAGCTAAGGGGGGGGGGGGAAGGGAGGGAGAGAAAAGGTGGGGAGGGACTTGTGTTAATTTATTCTTCTCTTGCAGATGCCGTGAAAGTCCAGCACTTTGGATGATTCCCTTTGTTCTTTTTTTTTTAGGTTTTTTTTTCCCCTTCCCTTTTTTCTTTTTTCTTTTTTTTCCCCTTTAAAGCAATTCCAGGCTACCAGAACGCTAAGCCATGCACACAACAACAACACCACACACACACACACACAGAGGCACAACCACACATCATCATCATCATCCCCCCCCTCCTGACACACTCGAAGTTCTGGCGAGACGTCTGGGCTTGGGAAGCTCTTTATCGTTTTACAGCCCTGGCCTTCCCCCTCCCGAGCAGAATGACCAATTGTTTAGCCTCGGAATTTGAAACAATAGCGGTTTTCAAAAGCAAACCCATTTCGCCTCTTTTATTGCCGGCGAAGAGCGACTGGATGCTGGAGCTTTCCGCGCCTAAAACTCCAGCCCTGCGGGTCGAGGAGGGGGAATTCGATTTTCTTTTCTTCCTTTTTTTTTTTTTTTTTTAACCGGTTCTATTTCCCCATATTCCAGCGGATCTTTTTTTTCTGGCCCCTTCCCTCCAAGGAAATACACCCCCCTTCTCCCTCCGCGCTCCTCCTCGCAGGCTGCGTGTCCGCGCAGCGCCGCGAGGTGGCGCCCATGCTCCACGCTTGAAGCGCGTCTCCCGCGCGTGACCGCGGGGCTCCGCGTAACACCTTGATTTCATTAGCGGGAGAGCGTGAATAACCTCGAAGCATAAAATATAGGGTTAATTATAGCTATTTTGCCGGTTTTATAGGTTACGTCTATTTTTAATTATTTTTTCCTATGAGGGTAAATTATGTGAGGCTTAAAAAAATTAAAGAGTTAATCTGGAGGCTCTATGCTAGGATGCGGTGAGAGGTGGGACACGCATCTATTTTGAATGTTCGTTTAAAAGGGGAGGATAAAAAAAAAACAAAAAAAAAGGGGGGTGTTGTCTTCTGCTAGCTCGAGTGGAGGTGGGAGGGCAGCTTAATTATCTCCGAAGTGAAGATTTACGCTTGCGGGACTGGAAAAGAGAGTGGCTCCCAGATTTCGAGGAGAAAGGGGCACACAGAATCAGGACGTTTTTCCCTGATTATCTGCGTTTGCTCTAGTCTTTGTTTTAGATACATAGGCACGGGTGGAAAAAAACCCGTCAAAACAAACCAAACCACAACAGTATATGCTTTTTAGAAGTTGAACTGGTCATTTTTGGTAGAGTTGCTTCATCTGCTGGTAATGTTACTGCTCTTTGCCTAAGGTCTTCACTTAATATGTGCGGAAATATTTTAAAATGTTACAAAATAGCAAATAAATCCAAAATGCTGCTAACCACGTTTTGTGATACGTACAAACACTCTACTGATCTGAAGTATAAACTTTGAACTCCATTAGCTCACTTTTATTTTGGCTTTTGTTTCTTCGAAATTACAAGACAACAATTATTCAGGCGTTCCAGTCCTTCAGCTACAAATTTGGCTACGGATAGAAAGGAATAGTGACAATAATTTCAACATAGATTTTGTTTCAAATTTTTATAAAAAAGTGTTTTCTGAATAAATCTGTTTCCGAAGTTATATCAGCAAATGCGCCCGTTCCCCGATAAGCAGAGTTCTGGGCGAGAATGCAAATTAAACAAACACGCACAACAGAACAGAATGCGATATGTTGTCTTGAGCAGTAAAGTTTAAGCATCTCAAGGCTCTGTAAAAATCCATAAAATTAAATACAAATGTAAACAGAAAGATGTGAGAGAAGTGAAAGAAAATCTTTTTATTGTGCATTAAGCAAAATGCAGAATAGTGAAAACTTACGGTTTACCTAGGAAAGGGTTTTTCTTTTTCTTTATGAATTCCTAATAAATCTTTCCTCCACTGGGTATTTATAAATTATCTTCTCTCTCAGACACACATGCATACACACACACACATCCCCACTTGTTTTTTCTTATAATAGAAACATTTTCCTTTCATCAGGAGTCTGAGTACAGTAGAAGAATGATTTAAGATCAGCCATTGATTTCTGGTTCTTTGGTGAGTTACCATCACATCAAGACCATAAAATTCTACTGCACTTGATAAAAACGTTAACTTCCAAGAACAACTACACTCCAGCCTTCTTGGGGTCCGTCTAGGAATAGGAATTCCTGCTCTTTTTAACTTTACAAACTTCGGTAGATGGGAGTGCATCGTAGTGTAACGTACAAGAGGATAGCTTTTCTAAAACTACTTTGGTCGGTTTTTTTCCTTTTTTTTTTTTCTTTCTTCAAAATTCTAGCACCGAGCATCCCCACGCCAGGCTGCAAAGCTCTATTTACTTGTGTGCACCATTTCAGGGGTTTTATGTTCAAAGATGAAACAAAAATCTGCTCAATTGACAATAAAAGCGTTGAGAAAAATAAAATGTTAACTTGTCTTTTAGGGGGGGAGAAGCCTTAATTATACCACTGCAAGTACTCTAACAACAATAATTACTTGGAAAAGCTCTTAGACTCGACTGAAATGATCCCTACACAAAATAAAGGAAACGTATTTACTTAAATTATTTCTCTAAGGATGGTTTTAAAGTTTTATTCCGTTACTATCTTTGTTTTCCTTCTTCCTTTCTGTCTGTCTTTCTTCATTTCCTGCTTATTTCCATCCCCAATTTTAATGCAAATAATTTGGGGTTTTTTTTTTAACCAAAGCCCTGGCAAGGCAGACTAACCGAAACATTTCAACTTTTTCCTCTTTTCCATGTTGTGGAGATAGACAACTGTTCTTCAGTTGAGGGCAGACACAAGTGACATCGTCTTTAATTCACCTTTCTAGTATCAAAGCTGCGCAGACGGATGAAATAGGCAGCAGCAGAAATTTACCCAGGGCAAAGAGGGGAAAAATAAATAAGGAGAGGTTTAAATGAGTGCCTTTAACTCCTACTGAAGGTTGAAGAATTGGAAAATAGAGCTAGTATTGCGAAGGGCTTGGAGGGGCGTCGTGGGTGTTAGGCAGGGTTGGGATTGGGAGGGTTTGGTGTCGTTATTAGCTAAGATACGTCTCGGTAATATTTGCTGACTGCGATAAATGAATTTCAAAATCTACCCCCTGTGTGTTTAGGCGGTGGAAAATTGCAGCGTTGGCATCTTAGGGGTAAGTTTGCTCCGTTGTTACCAAATGCCAATAAAACAGAAAGCCTCTCTCCTCTCCCCCCTTCTCCCCAGTTTTCATTAGAAGTATCATGCAGGAAAAAAAAAATAATTAAAAAAAAAGTTATTGAGGTAGGGGTGAGGAAGGGAAGAGCCATCAGTTACTGACCATAAAGGTTCTGTTCTGGATGTGATAAGCGACACAATACTTTGAGTTCGCAATCATCCCCGACCACATCTTGAACAAGTCCTCGGCGGGGGGAGGAGGCGGGGAGGGGGCTGCGGGAGAGACACAAAAAGTCAATGTTATATACAAAAAACTATAATCATTTTAATTCAATATTGACACCTCAACATCTCGCTGTAATGCGGACGGGTCCAATCGAAACCTCTGGTTTATAGCAGTAGAGGAACGAACTCGTAAAATCCTAACGGCTTTTATGTAGTGCGGTATAAACAACAACAACATCCCCGGCTTTATGGCGTTTTATAGTTTGTTAAACAGTTTACAGCCTTTTTTGGGGCTATTACAAATGCAATTCCCTTCATGTGATAGTTAAACCTTTATCAATAATAAGGAAATTGATCATTAAAATGTTAAATATGACTACCTCGTTTGTTTTAAAATATGTTTAGGGTAAGAAGCTGTATGATTTGATAACTTGTATTAAAATACCAATTACATTTATAGGACCTTTTAAAACTGGTAGCAATTAAATCGTGTTCTTTTACAGTTTTCCAAAGCGACCCTGACATTTAAAAAGGCTAAAACTGCCTCGTTAAAATTTTGAAATTAACGACTGCGAGCGCTTCTCTTTAATTTTCCAACACTCCCCAAAAATCAATCTTTTGGGTGGTCTAGGTATGTGATTTGTTGTGAGGCGAGCGATATCTCATTAATGTAGGTAGTTAAACATATTTAATCCGTATATTCACTCCACCTCCTTCTCCCTTCCCCTCTCGCTCCCTCTCTCTCTCTCTCTCTCGCTCCCTCTCCCTCTCTCGCTCCCCCTCGCTTGCTTTTCCTTCTTTATTCTCTCACACTCTTCCTTTCACAATCATGCGGTGCAGAGTCCGTGTGGAGTAAGGAGAAGCCAATAGGATGAGGTTTTGGTAATAGATGCAAATGATCATGAAAAGACACTGCAAAATATGAAACAACTCATTTGCGCTGAAGTAAATCACTGAAAACTGTTTATGAACTGGCATCTCTTCTTGGAAATGTAAAGCGAGAACTCTTTAAGTGGCGATTTTTTTTTTTTTTAGGGGTGGGGGGGGAGGAAAGAATTCAATATCATGCAGGCTTAGAGTTTTGATTATATCCTCCTTTTATATTCCTGGAAATCACAAACTGTCGTTGCTTAGCATCTTAGCGCTTTCTTTTTTTGCTAATAGATTCCCGTGGTCTGGTTTGGTGGGCTTTTTTTTTTTTCTTCATTTTCTTCCTCCTCCAAACAAATATTTTTTATTTAAATTAAAATGAGCTCTTATTTTGTCAACTCACTCTTCTCCAAATACAAAACCGGGGACTCCTTGCGTCCCAATTACTATGACTGTGGGTTCGCTCAGGATCTTGGGGGCAGACCCACGGTGGTGTACGGACCCAGCACGGGGGGCACCTTCCAGCATCCGACTCAAATCCAGGAGTTCTACCACGGAGCATCCTCACTCTCCAGCTCCCCTTACCAACAGAATCCCTGCGCCGTGGCGTGCCATGGGGACCCCAGCAACTTCTATGGCTACGACCCCTTGCAAAGGCAGAGCCTCTTCAGCGCCCAGGAGTCGGACTTGGTGCAGTACACGGACTGCAAGCTTGCTGCCAGCGGCCTTGGAGAGGAGGCGGAGAGCTCGGAGCAGAGCCCTTCTCCGACCCAGCTTTTCCCCTGGATGCGACCGCAAGGTGAGGCGAGATGGAAAGGACAGCGAGGAGGCATTTCCTGAGCCCATAAAGTAGCCCTCTGGCTTTCTTTCTGCCCCTCTTACTCGCTTGCTTTCTTTCGCTCCCTTTTTCTTCCCCAGTGACTGTATTTTACTTTATGGGGGTAAACTTTTGCACTTGTAAATTGCTTTATAGTTTAATTACCCTGAAGGAGACCTTTTCTTCTAGGGGCTGAGCGAGCCGGGCTTTCTGTGGAAGGAAGCGTCCTTAAAGTTTATGGCACTTTTATAGCCTTAAAAAGCCCTTTCTTTTTTTTTTTTTTGTTTTGCCTTTGATTTGGGATTTCGGTGGTGCTGCTTGCTCGCTCTGGGCTGCAGCTCTTTTTTATTATTATTATTATTTTTCTCCGGGATCCCAAAGAGTCTGTTGTTGTTGTGCCCGTTCGGGTAATAATAAGTGTGCAAATGCAGGCTTTAGGCTGGCTGCTCGGAGTGGTGGATGACCCCCCCCC